TATACCCTCTTTTATTTAAAAATAAGTTTTAATTTATATCAAAATCAAAGTACTCGTAAATGAATTTATGTGACCTCTGCTTTAGACTATATATCGTGCTGGTAGGGCGAAGAAATGACATTTTCAGGATTTTCCTCACAGCGTCAGCTCAGTGCCTCAGATGCGATGGCCAATTGTTAGGCCGTGAAGCCCAATAGCAAAGTAATAAGTGGCCCAACAAAACTGTCAGGCAATGTTTTCAGCATACCATATAGTATAGCACATCTAGAGGGCACGATTTTTTTTTTTTTTTTTTTGCTTTATCTTCTGTGCTTCCAGAAAGAAAGACCTTCGCACGGCACAACATTTTTCTGGATCTTTTAGTTGAAACTTGAAACTATAGCTTCTGACACGCCGTGTCGCTTCCTTGGTTGGATTGAAATTTCGGAGGCCCTTTTGCGTTATCCTTTTGGTCTTGAGAGCTTGCAGTTGCAGCTTCATGCTTCCATGCGTCTCTAGGGTAGGAGGGCCCAGAGAGAGGAATGAAAGGCATAAAACGGGAGAAAATCCTATGAATATTCTGGGGGTGCAACAGCTGAGCAGCCTGGACAAGAAGGAATACCCTTCCCCAATAATGCGCAGCATGTGCAGCTAATCTCCGGTTGTGTGTGCCACCAGCTCTGGCGGCTGGGCTTTCGAGTTGTCGCGGGGCCTGCGGTCGACCGCCGGCGCGGGGCCGTGGCCGGGCGCATGCGCATTGCGCAGACGATTTGGAGATGGCGACAGAGGTTGCCGGCCAGGTTGGCTGGGTGGCGTTCGAACCATTTAGTTGTGATGATGATGGGAGATTATATTGGTGTAGTATTTCTTTAAGACGACAGTGATCGCTTTCAGGACGTGGTGGCGCTGGACTGCTGATTCCTTCGTCTTCATACGTTGGGGTGGTAGGTTCAGAGTCCAGACTGTGTCCACTGGTGCATGCAGCTCGCATCAGTCGTCTGACGTGGGAACAGCTCCTTCCGTGCTCAACTGGGCACACGCTCCGTTGGCATGGCATCTCTGCTAAAGGGACCAATCCGAAATACGCTTAGTCCATCCAGGAATTTACCCTCACAGAGATGAACTTTCCTACATCTATCCTAGTTCGTGCACTCAAAACATCCCATCATATAGAAATAAATGGTTCAGATCTATTCTCACGGAGCTTTGCCATCATCCCATGGCCAAAGTTGTTTTGGTGGCGAAGCCAGGCTTCAACGCACCCGCCTGCGGGCTTCGGCCACGGACGGTCGCAGCACGCAAAACCAAATCAGCGCCCCTCCCAAATTTGCTGCATGCAAAATCAATGCACTCCCAAATTGGCGGCACCCTTTCCATCTTTTCTTTTCTTTCAGCAACTCTCGCCGCCCATCAAATCGCATCGTTGCCGTGGACGCCAGCCTCGAGAACTCGTGCACATCGTCGCTTCGTCTCGCGGGTACGGCTCCGAACTCCTCGGCATCACCGCGTCGCTTTTTCCGGGCGCGCACCATCGCTGTCTCCGGAGGGGGACGCCGCCGATGGACGTAAAGGCCGTGGAGACGCGGCAATGGGGACTGGACCAAGCGAAGCGCGGCGCCGCCCGCGAGCGGGACCTCCCCTCCTCCATGGCCGGTGGAACTCAAGAGCAGGAGCCCGAGACGGACCTCCTCCCACGCGCGAGCAAGTGGCTTGGAAGACGGTGAGGAAGTCGTGGCCATGGGCGTCGAGGATTTCGTTGCGGACGCCGGCGTGCGCGTGGGCCTCATCCTGCCCACGTCCTCTCCTCCCCCGTGGCCCCGCCTATGTCCTCCGCCGCGACCCCCAGGCGTGCCGCCCCATGCGGCCACGAGGACGGATGCCCCCCGGGCCATCCTCCGCCAGTCCGCCCTCACCATCCTCCATGGTAGCCACCAGATCCCACCCGACTTCCATCATTCACACCATCAAAGAGGGAAGGGTTGCAGCTGCGATGGCCATGGCAGAGGCGCAAACCCTAGCGCCGTCACAGCGCCCAGAGGTGGAGCCCCTCATGCAGCTACCATCTCTAGTGAACGCGCTGCCGCCTCTGTACCTTTGGTTTCCTCTCTCTTCTCCAAGATCATTACGGTGATTGAGTTCATTAGCTTTTTTTGGTGTTGCTGTATTCTGGTAAGAAGCTTATGAGTGTATTAACTTCCTTTTCTTTTCCGATAGGCTACATAATGACAGTAATCTGTTTTACTTTCGTCGTAGATATATAGGCTCCGTGGTGGATTCACAGGATGGTCAAGAATCAAGATAGTGAGTTTGATTTATACCTGTGTAGCTATGTTGGCATTCAGGATGGTGTCCCTACCTAATTGCTGGATTCAATTTATTTATGTTTACTACACTATATGATGGAATTGTCTAATTCATGATTTAGAGTCTTTGCCGGGAGCAAGTAGTACATGTCATTATCATGTTATGTGGGATGTGAACAAATTTGCTGCTGATAGTGCTTAAAAAATTCAAGCAAATTTTGTTTGCATGTTGCAGGTAATTTTTGGCAGCTGTGATCCCCTTAATTTTCAGACAAGTTAACTTGTTAATTCCTTTTGAACTATCTTTGAGTGTGGCTGCAATTACTTGGCTATAGATCAATTTTAAATTTATATATTTTTTATTTATGAACTGTGCACTGAATGTTGCTACCTGAATGCCAATTAATATGGTGACTTTATAGGTGTGATGTTAAAAAAAAGTTGAGCAATAAACAACCTTATATCTTTATCCCTTTTCTTTGATGGGTTTGTGAACGAAACCCTTTGCACCATCAACAACTCTTCAAGTTGGGTGTATGTGTCAACAAATTAGCTACAAGTCTTTGGTTATTAGCTTGCTAGCTTCTACAGGATGTAAGTTTTCTTTCTTTCAGAAAATGATTTTTTCATATTAGATCAAGTTTCTCAGTATCTTGAAAAAGATTGTTTGATTATCGTTGGAAGAAAGATGGTATGATTCTAATGCTTCTATAAAACTGCTGTTGGTATTTATCTGTTGTAGTTGTAGGTATTAATCTGCTATAGCTGTAGGTATCATTAGTTAAGAACTCTACGTTACTTGTCTATTCTGGTTTTGCACTTTGTTATTGCTAGACAATAAAATATATAAGTGACTTTAGTTATGCTTGGTCCTTTTGTATAGTGGCAGCTCTTTTTTTGGGAAACGGGAGGGGTTGCAAGGTAGTGGCATCTCTTCTACATCTCGATTTCTCTGGAGAAAATAACTAAAGCAAAACTTCCTCTGCGCCCCCGCCTCACGAAACCGAAGCGGCATCCTCTGAGAACCCACGGGGATGTTGGACCGGCGAGGGCGGCGATGTCAGAGCACGTTGATGGCGAGGCATAGCAGGACGCGGCGGCATTGCACTTCAAGGGCGGCGCGACGAGGACGAGCTCGGCGAGGGCAGCCTAGGCGCTGCAGAACCGCGTGTATCGGTTTCGCTTACAAAAATATTGTCTTTTGATTTTTATCGTAGCGTTAGTACAGGCATACTACTAGTACATACAAATAACTAACACAGAGTACAAGGAAACACATAATGATAAGGGAAACGAGTGCCCGGGAGTTTATTCGGAACAAAAATGACCATTCACCTGCTTTTTCGATGAAATTGGATTGATATACACAGTGCGTTAATTCATTCGTAGAACTCCTTTACAACAACTAGGAGATCAGATGGCTAAAAATCACTTGAACGGTGGCTCAGTTTATGAATCGCAGGATCGATGGGACAAAATCATCCAGTTTCAGTTGCAATGGCACGTGAAGCATGTCCCGTGAATAAAGCATTATGTTTTTTTTTTGACAAAAGGCATTATGGTTTGTTTAATGAACGATTTGTATCAACGGTTCTTTTCGTCGTAAACGATCGTAGATTATTTATTGCTGGCTGGTTTGGTGTGAGAGAAAAATATTGTTCCAACTTATAATCCACGATCGTATACGAGCAAACGAACATGCTGCAAATCTTTTAATCTTAGAGCTGTATTTGGGAGGGCTCCTCCCCAAAGCCTTTCCCGGACCCGGTGCAGTTTTGGAGGAGCGAGTGGTTGGCTCCTCTAAACTCCAGCTCTCTCTTTTTTCAACGAAAAAAACAGCTCCTACTACTAAATCATTTAGGGGAGACGTTTTTCTTGGATGAAACTCATATGAAAACAATTTAAAAAGGTGATTCATAAATAGTTGCAGTTTAGCTTTCTTGATATCTATGTTAAATTACCGTAGCCCGTGAAGTTCATTCCAAAATTAGGATGTTACTCCCCTGTCTAAAAAAATGCAATTATGAGTTGCATGCCGTTAAAATGGTTCATATTTAACCAAATTTTGAGTAAATGATATTCACGTTTACGACTCTAAATCAATTTATTATGAAAAATACATTTTATAGTTAGTGTAATGGTTTTTTAAAGAACTAATATAATGGTATTTGCTTGATATCATAGTTATTGATATTTTTTATCTATAAGTGGTCAAATTTACTAAAACATGGCACTGTGGTAGTATTCTTTCCTGGACGGAGTACTGTTGCACCCCGAGAATATAACATCTCATGAAAATGGAAATGGAAAAAAGATGTATTTTTGCGACCCTCCCTGCAAGCCTGCCACGCCCTGACTCCCAGTCACTGTCCGTTCGGCACCTCCTTTTCCATCGTCTTCTCGATTCGACAATTCCCCACGAGACGAGATGGCTATATAAAGCAGGATCAGATTCGCCAAACCGGTTGCCCCTCGAATCCTCATCCTCTCCCACGGGAGAATTCCGTTCCGGCCTCCTATACATAGGCAGCCAGCCTTTCACCCTCCCCCCTCCCCCCACACAGCCCAGCAAGCCGCGCGCGGAGGTGGGGCGTTCGCACACCTCGCCGCGCGTCCTTCGCTTCCCTCCGTTGCGCCCGCCAACGGTCACGCGTTTCCGGGGGGAGAGAGAGGGAGGAGGCAGGGAGAGGACGGGACAGGATGCTCGGGTTCAGGCAGATGGCGTGGTCGTCGTCGGCGCAGGCGCAGGCGCCGTCGGAGCAGCTGTGCGAAGGGGCGGCGGCCGTCGTGGCGGCGCGCCAGGGGATGGAGACGCCGCTGACGGCGGTGGCGGAGGCGTTCGAGGAGCTGGCGCGCGGGATGGAGGCCGACAGCGGGGAGCTCCGCCTCGCGCCCTTCAGCGACACCTGCGCCCTCGTCTCCGTGCTCTTCAGCAGCCTCGGGATGGCCTTCAGGTTCGCCGAGATGGAGTACGTTACCAAGGTGAGCGCCCGACGATCCCGTCCCGCCGATCGATCCCCTTCGCGATCGTTCTGCGCAAAATTTCCCCTTTTTTTTCGCCCCTACCGGGATCGTTTGCTTCGCTTGTACCGTTGTTGCGATCTCCGTGACAGGGATCCAAGATTTTACACGGCTGACGAGATAGCATGGCTCCATATGCTGTCTTTGACTTTCATTGGATCTTGCAGCGTCCACCGACGTTGCCCGAAAAAAAAAACAGATTGGATTATTCTATCTTTTCCCTCATTCTAGAAAAAAAATAACGTACGTCACCCCAAAAAGAATCGAAACTTTGCATTCTTTTCCTTCAAGGAAGCTCCAGGAAAGAACGTTGCCGCGTTGATTTGACTTGCAGTCGATTGCGTGCAGACTCTTTCGAAATTTCAATGGTCAGCGTTATTAGGGTGTGTTCGGTTGGGCTTTTGGCTTTGGTTTTTAGCAAAAAGCTGGCTTTTGGCTTTGGTTTTTAGTTAAAAAGTCAAAAGTCCAACCAAAGGGTCTGCTTTTTCAGACTGCTTTTTCCGAAGCAGCTGCTTTTCCGTAGTACGGCTTTGTTTAGATCATCTCCAAATTCTAAGTTTTTTCCCTCTCTCTCCATCACAATAATTTTTGGGCGTATGCATGGAGCATTAAATGTAGGTAAAAAAATAACTAATTATACAGTTTGGTTGTAAATCACGAGACGGATTTTTTGAGCCTAGTTAGTCCATAATCGGACAAAGTTTGTTAAATACAAACGAAACGTGCTACAGTGTCCAAGTTGCAAAAATTTGTAATCTAAACAAGGCCTACATTTTTTAAAGCTGGTTTGACCCTGCTTTTGACTTTTGGCTTTCTGCTTTTTGAAATTTGTGACATAAAAAGCTTTTTCATAGTTGTTTTAAGAGAGATAAAGATAGACGGTATATTTTATACTTGTTTAATCAAATAGTTTTTAGCTTTTCTACAGCTCACAGCCCACAGCAGCTTTTTTATAGCTCATAGCTCACAGCAGCTTTTTCCCACGGTCACACCTCAACCAAATACACCTTAGTACCAATCAAAATTGCTCACGCGTACTCCCGGCAAAGGAACGTACAGGCGCTTCCCCGTGTGGATACTGAATGCTCATATCACCCATCCATCCTTCCAGGTGAACGATCTCATCGGTGCTGGCAAGTCGTACCGCACGCTGAGCGACATCCTCGACAAGGACATCCAGAATGACTGCGTGAAGAAGCAGGGAAGCCACTCCCGGAACCTGCGCAGGGTCCGCCTCGGCCTCGGCCTCATCAAGGCCCTCTTCGAGCAATTCCTCGCCACCGAGTACGTCTCCTTACATTCAACCAAACGCAAACATCTCATCACGAAACTCTGAACATTTCAAGGCGTCTGTTTGTCCTGTATACAACGTCTGATGTCCTTTTGTGTGATGGCAACTGCATGATTCAGAACTGGTTGTTACGGATAAATATAGTATTTACCAATTGCCAATTGATGCCCGTAAGCTATTGCATGTATAACTGTCAAGTGCTATGATTGACAGGTAGTTGTTTTGTTTTAAAATATACATACTGACAGGTCGCTCTGATTCTTTGGCACTTGGTTTTTCAGGGGTTCATTGTATGATGCTGCTACGACAGCTTACGGGCAGGTCTGCGCGCCGTTTCATAGCTGGGCGATCAGGAAGGCTGTTGGTGCTGGCATGTACACTCTTCCAACCAGGGAGCAGTTGATAGTGCGGCTGAACGAAACTGGTAGGCAAACATGAACACCCACCACGTTTTTAAGCATTATTACAATCGAATTTCGGCCTCTCGAAAGAAAATGCCTTTATTTCTCCAGGGATTGATCGAGTGTTAACAGTGTCCTTTATTGATTGTTGACACAGATTTCTCGGTGCAGAAGGAGATGAGGAGATACATTGATGCTTCGAGTCCTATCATAGAGTACATCGATAACCTTTTCCTCTCGAGGAACATTAGCCTAGATTGGTGAACTGATCTGAACTGGACTGAAGATCGAGTATGTAGCTTGTTCACAAGCTGTTGTTGGTACCATCGGTTAATTCTGTTCATAGTTATTTATTCAGCCTTGTTGGGTGGTGGATGGATGCTCCCTTTTCTTCCTTTGTTGCACGCACGGTCTCGTGCATGTGTTGTACAACTGCATGATAATTCTAGCACGGCCATTGATATTCTTGCCGACTGTCCATATAGAAATTGATGGATAATGCAATCGACTATTCAGATATGCAATCGACTATTCAGATATGCAAGAGTTCTCTCCCTAATCCAGCTGATCTCGGTTTTGGTTGTCTAATTATACTTAGGCCCCGTTCGCTTCACTTAAAAAACAAGCCGGAACAAAAACACTGTTCTGGCTGAAAAAATAAGCTGAAAAGTTCGGATTATAAGGCAAGCGAACAAACCTTAGAATTCGAAATGCTGCAAGAGATTTGAGGTCTGAAATGTACAGGGTGAGGCCTTTAATATTGTTTCTGTATCAGATATACAGTCAGTTGTTAGGGTCATGAATATGCTAAGTTCTACACATGTTTCTGTATCAGATATACAGTCAGTTGTTAGGGTCATGAATATGCTAGGTTCTCCACAATAGGAGTTTCATTCTCATTAACTATGCAGGGTATTTAGGGTTAGTTCTACACAATAGGAGTTTTTTTTTGAGACGAACACAATAGTTGTTTCATTCATTCTCATTAAATAGTGTCATATTAGCGATTTTATGATGTGACAATGAATTTATGAAGAAGCGGAAAGATGAGTTGAAAAGGCTTTGCATTGGCTCCAGCTTCTTCACCTACTTCAAGTTGAAGCTCCTAGGTGCCTAAAACAAAAATGGTTTTCACCTAGAAGAATTAGCACCGATCCAGAGCGCTGCACCAGCGCCATCTCAATGGCTAAATACTGCACAGAAACAACAAAATCTCCCAAAGCCCTTTTGTTGTACCTAACCGTGTAAGAACGATATATCATCAAACAAATCAATGGACGTCTCCCGAATCAGAGACCACTCTATCAGGAATCACACTAGATGTACCCGCCCCCAATTTACAGAACTTAACAGCATGACGGGGAAAAATACAACTATCGATCTTTCCTCCTAGGATGTTGCTTTCTCAGTCTTGCTCTGCTATGTAGTTGGGCAGCTCACCCCTGGCAGAGGTACACTCGTCGCAGTGGGACGCTGAACCCCAGCCCCTAAGCAGCCGGAAGATGTCCTCCGTGAAGGTGGAACCTGATGATCCTATGAGCACGTTCGACAGCGCGCAGATTGTCTTGTCAAGCATGGCATCGACCTGAACAAGCATTGCAAAGGTGGATTGTTGTTCAGTAAGTCTGTCAGGCTCAAAATTGGGTTCATAAGAAAAAATGGTATCGGGATTCATGCGTAATACCTGATTATCTCCGCCCATGGTGGTTTCTATAGAGCAGGGCATCCCATTTCTCAGAGCTGTGGTGCTCTGGCTGTTAGAATCGATGGATGTGTATACCTCTGTGTGTAACCCGTAGATCCGGGTAGACTTCTTAGGGTTCCTCTGCTCGCTTTTGCACGGCAGCCTCCTAGAAGCTGGTGCTCGGCACGGTGGTGAGGAGGCGAGGTAGCGATGCCGTGGAGATCCAGAGGGGACGGTGGTGGCCCTGCAGGCGCGACGGCGGTGGTGGTGGTGGGCTCATCCTGTCGCTGGCAGCACGCTTTAGGATCGGATTAGGGTTTCTCTGTAGGTGCGTGGCGGCTCCGTTGAACCTCGTCATTCGAGCCCTCACCCCCACCTTCCTTTATATGTGCTGTGCGACAGGGGTCCACCAACCGGATTAGGGTTGGGCTCCCCCGATCAGGGAGCAGAGATAAGGGCCCAATAGACCGTTGGGTCTATTGGTGGAGATCAACTAACATTCTTCCTCTTGATCTCATTCCATCTTTCACTTTCATATCATTTACTTTTGTTCATTCCATTACAGATTAGCTCATAGAGCATGTCTCATCGTCACGGTCCATTGCCGATAGACTTAACAGCTACAACTCACTACTCTGTTCTGAAATAGATACTTATCTTTAGGCCTTCTTTTGTCCAGGAATATTTTAGGCTTTCCCTTAAACCCAAGCTAGCTACATGTTATCTGAACACCATGTCCTCTGAACATGTTGGGTGGTAAGCCTTTTATAAGCGGATCCGCGAGCATCCTTTCTGTTCTTATATGCTCAAGACTTATGACTTGATCCTGGACTTTATCTTTCACAACATAATACTCTATGTCAATGTGTTTGGCAGCACCACTTGACTTATGTTGTGAGCATCCTTTACTGCCAGATTATAATCGCAGTATAACTTTAGTGGTCTATAGATGTCGTCAACCACCTTCAAACCGGATATGAACTTCATTAGTTAATTCACCTGCCCGTTGTCTCATAACATGCTACAAATTGTCATACATTGTGGACGATGTAGTGACAGTTTACTTTGAGCTTTTCCATGAAATAGCTCCCTTTTGCGAGATGATAGAAAATCCACGTCTGGATATGCATTCACTCTCGCATAATCAGAATCTGAATATCCCACCATGTGAAGTGAATCAGATCTTCTATATGTCATCATTAGGTCTTTCGTTTCTTGCAAATAATACAAGACTTTCTTTACTAATTTCAGTGTTCTATTCCAGAATTCCTCTGAAATCTGCCAAGTAAAACCCGGTAACAAATGCCAAGTCAGGGCGTGTACATACTTGAGCATGTTGCAAGCTTCCGACAGCTGAAGCATATGAAACCACTTTCACTTTATCGATTGAGCTCATATTGGTTCCCTGGGCCATTGAAAATCCCCTTATCCGTCGCCCTTGACTATAGGAGCAGGTGAGGGTCTACATTTGTGCATACTGAATTTCTTTAAGATCTTTTCCATGTATGCCTTTTGTGATAGTCCTTCTACCCTTTTTCTTCTATCTCGGTGAATCTCGATCCCTAGAACGAACGAAGGTTCACCAAGATCTTTCATATCAAATTTTGAGGACAAAACTTCTTTGTCTCCTATAGTAGACTGACATCACTACTAGCAAGTAAGATATCATCCACTTACAGGACAAGGAAGATAAACTTCCTATTCTTAAACTTTGCATAGACACAATTATCCTCTACATTTTCTTTAAATTGTATAGACACAATTGTTCTCTACATTCTCTTTAAAACCCAAAATTCTTTATTGTCTGATTAAACTTCAAGTACCATTGTCTTGAAGCTTGTTTTAATCCATAAATGGATTTCTTTAGGCGGCATCACATTTATTCTTTTCCTTCCATGACAAAACCTTTCGGTTGTGCCATGTAAACATTTTCCTCCAAGTCTCTGTTGAGAAATGCCGTCTTTACATCCATATGATGTAATTCTTAATCGTAATGTGCCACTAATGCCATTATGATTCTGAAGAAAAACTTTACATGAGAATGGAGAAAAGGTCTCATTGTAATCAATCCCTTCTCTTTGCATAAAGCCTTTTGTCACAAGTCACACTTTATATGTCTCTATATTCTCTTGAGAGTAATGTTTAGTCTTGTAGACCCATTTATAGCCTACCGTTTTGACTCTTTTAGAAATTATTTCCAAATCCCAAACTTTATTGACATTCATCGATTTTATTTCATCTTCTATAGCCTCAAGCCACTTTGATGAATGATTACTTTTCATGGCTTATTCAAATGAGGTGGGATCATCCTCCATTTGAAAATTCTTAGTGTTGTACACCTCATAATCAGCAGGAATGGCTGATTTAATAACTCTTTCAGACCTTCTAGGGGCCTTCACATTTGGCACATCTTCTATTTGAGGCTGTTGTTGCTCCCCCTCATGTGTGGCAATAGGTTCTATAGAATCCTGAAGAACAGGTTCATCATCGTCATTCATTGTTGCCACAGGTGGGATAACAACAGGTGCTGGCACCACAGTATCTAGCACTGTCGGTGCAGCTATAGCAGGTAGTGAGAAAAATGGATCATGAATCATTGGAGTGGGCACATACACCCGCTTCACTTCAAGGACAATTTCTCGAGCTAACATGCTCCCCCTCATCTTTTCATCCTCTAGGAAAACAGTGTGTCTCGTTTCCACAAACTTTGTATGTCTCTCTGGACAGTGGAAAACAAAAACCTTTTGACTTTTCTGTGTTGCCAATGAAATGGCACCTTACTGTTTTGGGATATAACTTCCCAATGTTTGGGTTAAATACTTTAGCCTCAGCAGGACTACCCCACACACACGCAAGTGGTTTAGTGAGGGTACACTTTCTGTCCATAACTCATACGGTGTTTTGGGCACCGATTTACTTGGTACTTTATTGAGAATATGAATGGCCGTTTTCAACGCCTCCATCCACAGGCTCAACTGTAAGGTGGAGTAACTTATCATACTGCCCATCATATCCATCAGGGTACGATTGATTCTTTTAGTTACTCTATTATGCTGAGGTTCGCCGGTGTAGAATACTGGGCTACTATGCCATTCTTTTAGGGTATGCTGACCGTAGTACTCCTCCACGGTCAGATCTGACTATCTTAATCTTTAATATCTTAAATTTATCCAATATCTTTCTTTGATTGGATAAATATAACCATAATGAGGAGTAATCATCTGTGAATGTTATGAACGAATCACAACCATCCATACTCTTTACAGGAAAGCTGACCATAGATGTCAGTGTGAATAATCTGTAAAATTCTTGTGCTTCGTTTGTCATCTTTCTTTACATATTTTCTTTTATGCATTCTCTGTATTGTTCTTAATCTGAGAGCTCTAATGGAGGAAGAATATCATTCTTAACTTGTCTTTCTATTCTCCCCCTCGAAATATGGCCTGAACGATAGTGCCATAATTTCGACAACGCATCATGAGCTCTCTTATACCACCATTTCTAGATTAACTTTCGATCATCAGCTGCTTTATCAGTTGTGTGGACATATGTCTTTGAAGAGCCAGTGAACTGACTCTTT